ATTCCATGTGCTGTTGAGAAGAAAGTGAGTTTAATTTTTAATGAATAGAGTATTCTAGAGATGCCTGTTAAGTACATTTTAATCCCTATTTCTCAACCCAGACAAAACTCAACTCAAAATGGATCAAGGACTTAGGCATTGGACCAGAGACCCTGTATCCACTAGAAGAAAATGTAGGCCCAAATCTCTATCATACCAGCTTTAGGAACCAACTTCTCCAACAAGATTCCTTAAGTGGAAGAATTAAGATCAAGAACCAATAAGTGGGATGGTATAAAGCTAAAAATCTTTCTCAAAGCAAACAATCGAGAGTGTAAAAAGAGACCCTACAGAATGGAAAAAAAAATCACATTCACAATTTTTCCTCTTAAGTTTTTGTCAAGACCTTGTAAGCCCCAACAACATTTCTTAATCCAATCAATTGTCAAATATTCTTTTTTGCCAACAAATGCCCAAGGATAAAGATATTTTCATAGAATCAACTCCAAGGAAGGCAATGACCCATGTAAAGACTTCCCCAGGAAGTCAACAAATTATTTAGAAATGGGAGAAGACTTCTTAAGGAGCTCCAAAGCTGATCTGCACACCCTAATGGTTGCACATTTTCTGATTTTCATAGCTGCTATTACCAGATTTTTGTTTTTTGACACTTTGTATAATTATATACTATATATATTAAAGATGGTAAATGAGAGTAGGTTATGTTACCACCCCCATATATTGCTATTTTTAACAATGTTCAGCAATTTATTTTGTTTTGTTTTGTTTTTTAATTTATATGTAATGGATTATTGCTAAGCTTTCATTGAACACAGAGTTTTATAAAAATTGATTTTTAAAGTACTTCCCCATGTTTTTGTAGTTTTTATAGAGATGGATTCTCAAGTCCTCATTCCACTGTTGGCATGTAAGTTCCTCATGTTTCTATTTTTCTTTGTCAAAAACATGAGAGTTTTTTATAAACCCTCAGTTAATTAAGATCTTTTATGATTGTACAAATCCACATATATCCATTAAAAAGTCAGTATGACAACTCAAGTAATTACTAGTGGAAATATTGCAATATTTATATTATTAGGAAATATGATTTTCTATATGACTACCTGGTGATGAAGTTTTAAAAGGACCGAGTTGTGTGAGCCAGTTTCCACTGAGTGCATCCCTTTCTATGCAGAGGCTACTGACTGTCTCTCTGGAGTACTAATTCACTAGTGAATACAAACCATCCTTGACTACGCCACAGCCTCTAGGCATTTTGTTATGCTCTTAAATACTTAAGGGATAATTAACAAAACCTTTTGCATCTCCTAAGGGGACTCTCAAAATTTGAAAAAAATATCTATAAATTGTTCTCACTATTTCATGTAAGAAACACATGGGGCAGTCAAGACAGA